TTTAATTTCTGCTCAATTGTTTTTTCTCCTTGGAAATGATTTTTAAATTTACCGGTCTGTAATTCCGCCAGAAACTCTAATTCTTGGTTAATTTTGTGAACCGAGTCCTCCCCCGGAATAAAATCCTCTCCTCATTTTGTCACCCTATCTAGTTTATCTTTTTCCACTTTATAGGCTTGGTAATCGGCTTCAATTTTTTCCAGTTTGCCGGGGATATCTCATTGGGGATTAGCGTTTTGTTGCTCCGCTCTCCATAATAGATATTGTTGGGAGTGAAAATCTTCAAGTTCACTAGCCGAAGTTGGGAAAAGTTGATAAGGAGGGAACTCACCAATTTTTTTGATTATTTCCGCTTTTTTGGCTTCATCAACAATCGGTTTGGCTAACTCCGCTTCTAACTTTCTCCACTCTTCCCCGACTAATCTTTCCTTTTCTTCCAATTTTCCTACTTTGGCAAGAACCAATTCCCTTATTTGGTCAATTCGATTCTTTTGTTTTACTCCTCCGAAACCAAAAAATCCTCCCTGTTTTGTTTCTTCTTTCTTAACTCAATCTTCCCATGCTTTCTTTCGCCGTGGGTCTTCGGTTTCCGAAAAATAATTAGCATCCGTTAATCACTTCTTTAAATCGGCTAACGAAGTATCCGCTTTGGTATGACCTTGATACTCCGCAGTTTTTTCTAAACAAACATTATAGTATTCCGTATAAACTCGGTCAATTTTGACTTGTTCGGCGGGACTAACCTGACCATCATATAATTTAAATTTAGCTCATTTTTTTCTTAATTCTCCATTAAATACATGAGGATTTTGGTCTCAATCATATAATAAATCTCTTAAACTCTTTATTACCCCACATTTAGCCAAAATTTGGTTAATTTCGGCAACCGTCAAACCATGGTAGTTTGCCGCTCAGATAACATCCGAAGTAGAATACTTACTGGCAAAGCTCTTAATCTTTCCTCTGAGTTCCACATTATTATCCAAACTTTTAATAAAATTAGCAAAATTAGACTTAGCAACATTATTTAAGACTTCTTTTCATTTACTTCATAAGAAAACTCGATGGGCTTTTTCTTTGAAAATCTTTTCGTAATCCTTTCCGTGAATATTTTCTAACACCCATTCCTGTTGCTGATTACTAACCTGGTTCAGTCGTGGTGTATAATATCCAACAATGGAAAAGTCATTGTCTCGCAAGGCATTTCTAATTCCTACTTCAATGTCAAAATGTCGGAAATACTCCACCGCACTAGTGAATTTTTGGTAATAACTGTAATCATTTTCCTTAATTTTATTTTTAATATCCTCTAATTTTTCTTTCCGTTCCCCGATGATAGATTTAACTACTTGCTGACTTTGGTTAATAACCGCTTCCTCCGGAGCGGAGAGGGCGAAAACTTTTTGGAAAGCCGACAATAATTCCGCGAGGTCGTGGAACTGACCAATTTCTAAGTCGTGAGCTAGAAAAATAGCTTCTAAGGAAGCATGCGAAAAATATTCTTCCGGTCAAGGTTGTTGCTGATTATCTAACCAAGCTGCCGCAGTGTCCGCCAAAATTCTTTTTAATTCGTCTAAATTAGTATCAAAATCAGTTTCTAACCAAGCGAAAATTTCATTTCACCCCTTCGTTTCGGCGGAAGCCATGATAGTCGCTCACTCCCGAGAAGCCGGATTTCCTTGTGCCAACCAAGCTAATTCCATTTCCCCAATTTCTCGGAAAGTTTTCGCTGTGTCTAATTGAGCTTCCTTGTCATAAATTCTC